GTGGGTTTTTTTTTTTTTTTTTTTTTTTTTTTGGTAGAGATGGGGTTTCACCATGTTAACCAGGATGGTCTTGATCTGACCTCATGATCCGCCCGCCTCAGCCTCCCAAAGTGCTGGGATTACAGGCGTGAGCCACCACGCCTGGCCTGAAATTTTTCTAATTGTCCCAGTATTGTCCTTTATAGTTTTTCTCTGCTCAATTTTGAATCCCATAAAGTGCATATTAAATTTAAATGTTATGGATTCTTTAGTCCTCTTAAATCTAGGTGTCACTGGCATTTTTGAGGAGTCCAAACCAGTTGTTTTACAGAATTACCCTCAGTTTGAATTTACACAATTTGATTCTGGGTAAGCAGGGTTTTTTTTGCGGACATGTTAACCTGTGTAGGTTTTCATGCATTTTTCTGAATGTGTCACATCAGGGCTAATGTGATGTTGGCTCTTCTCATCATTGGTGACGAGAAGGCTGACAACTCTGTTATAAAATGACCTTTCACCTTTTGTGGTTAATGGAGAATTGGTGAGGTGATACTTTAGAACTCTGAGTATCTTTTTCTCTAGAGTCCTTCACCAGTGCTCATAGCCAGGCATCTGTACATGGTTCTTACCTGAATCAGTTAACTGTGTTGGTTGTGAAAGAGTGATTTCTATTTTCATAATTCTGTTTTTTTTTTTAATTAATTAACTTATTTTGAGACAGGGTCTCACTCTGTTGCCGAGGCTGGAGTGTAATGGTGCAATCATGGCTCACTGCAGCCTCCACCTCTGCCAGCTCAGATGATCCTTCCACCTCAGCCTCCTGAGTAGCTGAGGCCACAGGCACACTACCACACCCAGCTGAGTTTTGTATCTTCTGTAGAGATGGGGTTTCGCTGTGTTGTCCAGGCTGGTCTTGAACTCCTGGGCTGAAGTGATCTGCCCCGACTTAGCCTCCCAAAGTTCTGGGATTACAGGTATGAGCCACTATGCTCGGCCATTCCTTCTGTTTTTATTAAGTAACATTCCTGTGTAAAATAACCTGTGCCTTCTCTCCCTCCCCGGTTTCAAAAGTTGTTTTAGTATTGGTGTGGACTCTAGGATTTAAAAAATTCAACGTAATGGAATCCATTTCTGTCGTTTGTTTTGAGCATCAAATTTGACTAGTGGGGACCCCTTAAAGCTGCCTCTTATGTCCCTTGATTTGTCCTTTTATTTTTAAGCGTATCAACACTTGCAGTTTCAACTTTCCCTTTCCCTGTCCCAGCCTGGAGTCAGCTATTTCTCCAAGGAACTGTGGTCCTTTTTAGTGGAGAATGGTCCTTAGAAACTGAGATCCAGGCACTGGAAGTGCTTATTGCTCCTGGGCTGTCATTTCTTTTAGGTCTTTTCAGGAGATAGTAGCTAGGAGGTGTGTACTTTTTTTTTTTTTTTTTTTTTTTAAATTACTAACTTCATATTGTTAAGAACTACTTCCATTTCAATACTGTTTCCTCTCTTTTCTTCACTTTATATATATTTTTTCTTTTTACTCCTGGTAAAAAGTCTGTTCTTAACAACATTAATGTATAATACTTAGTTGTGGCTGGGTGCAGTGGCCTGTCATCCCAGCGCTTTGGGAGGCCAAGGCAGGCGGATCACTTGAGGTCAGGAGATCGAGACTACGCTTGCTAACACGGTGAAACCCCGTCTCTACTAAAGATACAAAAAATAGGCTGGGCGTGGTGGCACGTGCCCATAGTCCCAGCTACTCGGGAGGCTGAGGCAGGAGAATCGCTTGAACCTGGGAGGCAGAGGTTGCAGTGAGCGAAGATCACACCACTGCACTCCAACCTGGATGACAGAGTGAGACTGTCTCAAAAAAAAAAAAAAAAAAAAAAGGTTTGCTCAGTTCCACAACATAAATGACATAGTTTCAGAGTGACTCCACCGATAATAATTCCCACATCAAATCAGCTACATAATATTCAGGACCTCGTAGCACATTCTGTCCTTAGACTGTCTCTTGAAGATGTGTGGTCACTGAGTTCACACTTTGGCTTTCCCCTGTGATTGGTTTCCATCTGATGTACAGTTAGGTTGCTTTGCTTCCCCCTTTAAATATTTATAGAACAGCTATTGGGAAAAGTTTCTTTATTTTTTTTCTCTCAACAAAGACTGAATGCTTGCTTTGTGCTGTCACAATGCCACACGCAGGGCTTGCACATGTGGTTAAGAGCACAATTACTGCCTTAAGTGGGGCCATGGCAACAAGGATGTCATATGAATAAAGAGGGGCAAGTCCTGTAATCAAGCTGTGCCCGGCGTACTGTGGGGTTTAGTGTGGCTCATTGATAGGCACAAGGAACAAAGATTTCCAGACAAGATGGTGATTCCTGAAGGCAAGTGGAATTATTCAAGGAAAAATAAACTTAATACCAAATTTAAAACATTGAAATACAGCTACTACATTTCCTCTTCAGAAGAATTAACCATATTGCTTACAGTCTGTTTTTACGCACTCTAATAAAAGAAATAATGTCTGTACCTTGTCCTGGTAAATATTTTTATTTTGTTACTTTAGCTTCTTCATATTGACAAAAGAAGAGAGTATCTTTATCAACTTCAGGAGTTTTTGGTGACAGATAATAGTAGAAATTGGCGGTTTCGAGCTGAACTGGCTGAGTAAGTTCTAACAGTTTATTAGATTATATTTTGGAGGGGTATATATTTACTTCATTTTTACCTTTTCTCAGTTTCATTACTTTGTGTAGATCCAAGTTTCTATGTGGTGTTCTAGCCCTTTAACGCTTCCTGTAATACATGTCTTACTGTCAGTGAATTTCCTCAACTTTTTTTTTTTTTTCCTGAAAATGTCTTTAGTTCATTTTTATATCATTTTTATCATGGTGAAATACACATAGCCAAATTTGCTATTGATGACCTTTAGTACATTCACAATGTTGTGGAACCATTCCCTCTATCTAGTTCTAAAATGTTAACCTCCCGAAAAGAAAAACGCATGTCCGATAAGCATCTACTTACTATCTATGGATTTGCCTATTGTGGACATGTCATGCAAGTGGAATCATACCACATGTGGCCTTTTGTGCTTGGTTTCTTCATCTAACAATGCTTTCAGTTGTCCCTCCATATTGTATCCTCTAGCTGAACTTGCCTCCCTTTTTGTGGTTGAGTAAATATTCCATTGTATGGATAGACCACGTTCATTTAGTGCATTCATCTGTTGAGGAACATTTGGGTTGGGTGTGTGGTCTTTTGTGAATAGTGCTGCTAGGAACGTTTATGTACAAGATTTAATCCTTGAAATCCGTTTTCAGTTATTTTGAGGTGGATTTGCAAGGCCATATGGTAATTCTGTGTTTAATTCATTGAGGAACTGCCAGACTTTTCCACAACAGCTATACCATTTTACATTGCCATCAGCAACGTATGGGAGTTCCAATTTCTCTGTGTCCTCACTAACACCTATTTTCCTGTTAAATTTTAAAAATATTTCTAAATTGGCCAAATAATAATTGTGCGTATTTACAAGGTATGTAATGATGTTGCAATACATATTGGATAGCGGTTAGATAAGGGCAATTAGCATATCCATCACTCGCTTATCATTGATGGGCGTGGAACAGCACCTCGTTGTGGTATGATTCGCATTTCCCTAATGACTAATGATGTTGAACACTTTTTCATAAGCCTGTTAACCATTTGTGTATATTTTGTGGAGAAATGTCTATCCAAGTCTCTTGCACATTTTTAAATTGGGTTGTTTATCTTAAGTTGTGTTGTTGAGTTGTAAGAGCTATTTGTATATTCCGGATCATAGACCTCACGTGTATATTCAGATGACATCTTTGCTGAGTATAGGATGTGAGGCTGACAGTTTGTCTTTCAGTGTATTAAAAATGCCACTCCATTGAGTTCTGGCTTGCCCACTTCTGACTCGAAATGCACGCCTCCTCTTCCGCCATGTAGTGCCGGGATGTGAGTCCAGCTAGTCAGGATCAAGCCGGGCGTGCGTTTTGTCATTGCTGTGGTTACCTTCAGTGTATTTGGGGCTTCAGTTTTCCTCACTGTGGGCTGCCACTACCATTGCCGTTTGCTGAGGGTGGGAGCTGGGGCACCAGTGGTCTTGTAGTGCGAGTATTCCACCCAGGCTTTAGCTCTACCTGCACCCCTGTGTCATGGGTGGGACCTCCTGTCTGTGCTTGGTCTCGGGCAGGACTTCCTGCAGCTCCTCCTAGAATAAGGAGCGTTAGTTCTCCTCTCCCCAGCTGGCCCACAGGGTGGACAGGCTTTGGGCCCCTCCACCAGCAGGTTAAGCCTTTTGCTTTGTGTGAGCGAAGGGCCCGGTAGAGTGCTTGGTGATTCATGGCTGTCCGTCAGCCGCTTCTGCCTGCTATGAGACATCGCTCCTGTTTCTCCTGACTGTCTTTCTTGAAGCACCCATGGGAGGCAGGTACCCTGTGGAAGTCAGAAGGTCAGAAGGTTGCCTGGGGATGTGAGCTCCCTGTGTCGGGCACATAGGACTTTGCTTGAGCCACTCCGTGCTCGTGCCAGCCACCATCTGGCCCTGGGCAGCTAGCTCCAATTTGAGCTGATTTCTCCCCACCCTGTTATGTGCTGGCAGGTGCCCTGTCCCTCCGGGCTCTGCTGAGGGGGAAAGTTAGGCTGTTTGGGTGCTTTGCAACCCCAGCTCTCTGATGGGCTCAAGAAAAGATCTTGAAGTTTATATAGCTTTTTCTACTGTAGGGTCAGTGACATTCTTGCAGTTTTCTGTATTCTAAGCAGAAACTGATGTCCTATTTGGAATTTTGATTTTGAACTTTGTCGAAAAGTGCGTGTGTCTGTTTGAGGATGTGTGTTTGTATACACAGGTGACTTCCTGCTTATTAGAAATGTAAATCATCTTGAACATAAAATCTGAAAGGCAAAAGTCTCACATCCGAGGTATTTCTTCAAGGGCATCATTGAAGCCTTCAGATTAGCTTGGTGGATGTCATGAAAGTCTCAGGGCCCCTCAGATGTGATGGGAAGGTCGCTGGAGGACACCCTCCCTCTGTTATCCCTAGCAAGTCCCTTCCAGGAAGGCTCCTCAGAGCCTGGACAGGTACACAGCAGACTCCCTCCCTCTGCGGGAACTTCTTACTGAGAAACTTGATTGTAGATGGAAGCGTCTCAGCACATTCCAAACTATAACCATGGATCAGTGTGGGCCATGTTCCAGTTGAACATACTAGGAAGTGCTTTGCTCTCTCAGTTCCCATGGATGCAGAACTCTACAGCTTTTGTTTTCCTTACACTCTGCGGAACTTGAATAGCATGTAAGTGCATTTCCAGATGTACAGAGACTGGAGGTAACTGTACAGGAGAGGTCTGCTTAGTCGCTCCTCTTTGCATGTGTTTGAGACAGGTGCTCCGTAATCCAGTATTGCAGATTATTTAAATGAGAACCTATTTTCATTTGTCTTGCCGATTTTTAAACATTATTTTTTTGTAATTCCTTTTTGTAGACAGCTGATTTTACTTCTAGAGTTATATAGTCCCAGAGATGTTTATGACTATTTACGTCCCATTGCTCTGAATCTGTGTGCAGACAAGGTTTCTTCTGTTCGTTGGATTTCCTACAAGTTGGTATGTATTGAACTTTTAAAATTTTAGATCAGTAAACTCTAAGATCCTAGATTGGAAGCTGTTCCTCACTTCACACCCACCCTCCCAGGTCAGCGAGATGGTGAAGAAGCTGCACGCGGCAACACCGCCAACGTTCGGCGCGGACCTCATCAGTGAACTTGTGGAGAACTTTGGCAGATGTCCCAAGTGGTCTGGGCGGCAAGCCTTTGTCTTTGTCTGCCAGGTAAGCGAGGCCCTGGGCTTACCTGTTGGTGAGTTTTTCTCCTAGAAGAATGTCTTCTTTGACTTCCTACCTCTCTCTCATCCTCTTCCTTATTCTTAAGAAACAGAACCTTACGGTAGCCTGGCTGTTTCTAGGATCACCTGTCCCCATTGTTGGGCATCTGCTGGCCCCTCCCTCCCAGCCAGTCAAGCCCCTTCTTACACTGGCATGTACCACGCACACCCCACGTGCCTGCTGTACTTGCATGTTCCACACCACACACCACATGCCTGGAATGTGCGTGTTCTGCTCTACACACATTCAGACGTGTGCATGTGTACATTTGACAGTGCACATACATGCGTGTTCCTCACTGCATATTATACAGGCATGCATACATGTACCACACCACACACATACTGTGCACACATATACCATACCACGGTTCCCACTAGAGGGTGCTCATGCCTGGGACCCAGAGCACAGGTGTGAAAATGAAAGTGTGAATGAACACTCTAGGTCTCGGTAGAGCAGTTGAAAACCTGTCTGTCCATGTGGGCAGTTAATTATGTAATTTTTTATTTGAGTTCCCAAGTACCTGGAATTTTGGTTAAAAAGCAGTAAGTAAAATTTGTGCCTGTGGTCACTCAGAGATTTTGTTAGCCAGCAGTCGAGTTTCTGGCTGCATTGACAGAGAAGCCTAGAGCAGCTGTTTCTTTTCCCCAGACTGTCATTGAGGATGACTGCCTTCCCATGGACCAGTTTGCTGTGCATCTGATGCCGCATCTGCTGACCTTAGCAAACGACAGGGTTCCTAACGTGCGAGTGCTGCTTGCAAAGACCTTAAGGCAAACTCTGCTAGAAAAAGGTAGGTAGTGACTCTACTAGGAGAAGCGTGTGAGTAGAGAGGGAGGTCTGTCGACTGCGCTGATAAACAGACACCAAAGCAGAAGTATTGTCTGCTCCGAGAAAATAATCTGGTGGAAGGAAATATTTCAGTTGTTCTGGTGGTTCTCCCAAGAGGGCATGGAAGATGAAAGGGGGTTTTTAGCCCTCTACTGTTCAAGTTGGAGTTTATCGTAGGCATGGATCATTTTTATCATTTAAAACTTAGCTTTTTTGTTTGCTTGAGTTTTTGAGACTGAGTCTCATTCTGTCACCCAGGCTTGAGTGCAGTGGTGCGATCTCAGCTCACTGCACCCTCTGCCTCCCATGGTCAACAACTCTTCTGCCTCAGCCTCCCCAATAGCTGGGATTACAGGTGCCCGCCACCACACCCAGCTAACTTTTTATCTTTTTAGTAGAGACGGGGTTTCACCATGTTGGCCAGGCTGGTCTCGAACTCCTGACCTCATGTGATCTGCCTGCCTCAGCCTCCCAAAGTGCTGGGATTACAGGCATGACCCACCGTGCCCGACCTAAAACTTAGTTTTTAAAATTGGGTATTCATTCTCTTTATGTGCAAACCATTGGCTGGCAGCATGCCACTTGCAATCTTGCAATCTTCAGTATGGAGGCTCGTACCTGTGTTTGCTCTCCCTCCTTCTCTTCATTAAGCAAGAGACAGATGCCCCGTAGTATTTGTTTTGTTGGAAATTATAATCTCTTCAAGATTAAAGGTGGTTTATTTTATTTAATCGACCCCCACCCCGCCTGCCATCCAAACACCTCATCAATATAGTTGCATGGATGAATGAAGCACAGAAAGAAATTTGTAGTAGACGTCAAAGAATAAGGATAAATGAATATTGCTGCTTTTTTTCCTCCTCTTTTTTTTTTTGTAGTTGGTGTTTGGAAGCGTTTTTCTTTTACTATTACTTAATAGCTAAGAAGTGTGATGTTTTCATTTATTTATTTATTTATTTAATATTCCTTAGCTGTCATTGAATATCATGAGATTTAGTCTTATAAAAACAAGATAAATCTCACAACTCTTTTTATTCTGGCACTTTTTCTTCCTATAACAAATCAGGTTGGATTACTGTTTATGTTTCAGTGTGGCTTCTGTTTGTACTTGTAGAAATACCCAGTTTAACTGTTTGTACTCGTACTTGACGGAACTCTGAAATGTTCCGTTGGACTGGTTTCATCTGTCCTGTGCACGTGTCATTTCCAGACTATTTCTTGGCCTCCGCCAGCTGCCACCAGGAGGCTGTGGAGCAGACCATCATGGCTCTTCAGATGGACCGGGACAGCGATGTCAAGTATTTTGCAAGCATCCACCCTGCCAGTACCAAAATCTCTGAAGATGCCATGAGCACAGCGTCCTCAACCTACTAGAAGGCTTGAATCTCGGTGTCTCTCCTGCTTCCGTGAGAGCCGAGGTTCAGTGGGCGTTCCGCACGTATGTGACCTGGGATAGCTTTCGGGGGAGGAGCGACTTCCCTCTCCTGCAGGCTTCATTGCAGGTGCAAGTTGCCTGTACCCAATACCAGGGATTTTAAGAGTCAAGAGAAAGTACAGTAAACACTATTATCTTATCTTGACTTTAAGGGGAAATAATTTCTCAGAGGATTATAATTGTCACCGAAGCCTTAAATCCTTCCGTCTTCCTGACTGAATGAAACTTGAATTGGCAGAGCATTTTCCTTATGGAAGGGATGCGATTCCCAGAGACCTGCATTGCTTTCTCCTGGTTTTATTTAACAGCCGACAAATGAAATTCTTACAGCCTGAAGGCACACGTTTGCCCAGATGTGAAAGAGACCTTCAGTATCAGCCCTGACTCCTCTCCCAGGCACAAGGACTTGCTGGGCTGTGTGACCAGCTGTCCAGCCCAGCCCTGTGTGTGAATCATTTCTGATGTGTGTAAATGGGAAAGGAGGGTTTTTTACTTCCCCTGAGGGCTTGATGCTAACACAAAAGTAGGATTGACTTTAACTCTTAAGCGCAGCATATTGCTGTACACATTTACAGAATGGTTGCTGAGTGTCTGTGTCTGATTTTTTCATGCTGGTCATGACCTGAAGGAAATTTATTAGACGTATAATGTATGTCTGGTGTTTTTAACTTGATCATGATCAGCTCAGAGGTGCAACTTCTTCACATACTGTACATACCTGTGACCACTCTTGGGAGTGCTGCAGTCTTTAATCATGCTGTTTAAACTGTTGTGGCACAAGTTCTCTTGTCCAAATAAAATTTATTAATAAGATCTATAGAGAGAGATATATACACTTTTGATTGTTTTCTAGATGTCTACCAATAAATGCAATTTGTGACCTGTATTAATGATTTAGTTTAAAGTGGGGAAACTAGATTAAAATACTTGTCTTTTAACTAGTTTATTAGTTTCTCTGGAATCTGCCTGTGTCCCCGGGGTTGGGTCTTGCTCTTGGCAGCAGCAGGTGCCTCTTGGGTGCTCCTCCTGTTCCTGCCTACAGCCCTAAGGGCAGGTGGGTGCCGAGTGTCTGGCACAGCTTGGACACCGCCCACCCGCCCCCCGCCCGAAGACAGCGGGCAGGCCAGGGGGGTTGTCCTGAAGCTCCTGAGACACAATCAAGCATCTCTGAGCCTCGATTTCTTCGTCAGTAAAATGGGAATTAGTAAAACCTGCCCTGTTTCTCACAAGGTTGTTTTGCAGGCAAATGAGGTCCTCTGTGAAGGTGGTTTTGTAAAGTGCTGTGTGTATAAATGTTCGATGTTCCTGTAAGCCTGGTTTGAAAACCTTGGCCTGAGTCCCCTGGTGCTTCTGTGAGTTTTGGTTTTATTTAGTTAGCCAGCCAGGGGGGACTCCTCAGTAAGTCAAAATAAGTTCCTTTGAACTTCAGTGTGGGATTTGAGAATACATGGGCTGCTTCCTGTCTACACTATTACAAGTAAGCCTTTGGCTGCTGCTTCTCACATTATAACCCAGATATTTACACACTGCAAATATAAGTGTGAACAGATTTCACTGGGAAGGATGTTCAAATAAATAGATAAATGCATAGGTAATATGTGAAGTGGGTAATGGGGGCAGGGCTGGGGAGTAGCTGTGGAGGGTGTGGGGTGGTCTCCGAAGGCCTCTGAAAGCATCAGAGCAGAAATTGGAGGAGGACCTGGCCCCTTGATATAGCCTCATGTGTGAGCTGCAGATTGTCTGCTATTATATACTTTTGGCCCCCAGTATTTCAGTTCTGTAAACTGCATTAGAATCATACACTAGTAGCATTTTTTTTAAAGCAGTGGCTATGCTAACATGGTATATTTGGGGGTAAAGAACTTGAATTTGGCACTCTCCCTGCTCCGCAAAAAAGCCCCTATATGTGGCATTTAAGGGCCTTTCTGCCCCCTCCTCTGCCCAGGCTTGCTATCACATCTCCTGGGTCTCCTGGGCTGTAGTCTAGAACATTCCAGGGGCACTGCCCACCTTCCCTAAAAGCTGTAGGATCTTACACTGAAGGCTTTGCCTGCTAACTGACTCTGGCTTTTCCTTCTATCCCTTGTGAGAACCATGGGCCAGGGCTGAGGCTGCAGACATGGAACTGGGCGCGCTGTCTCCGTGGAGAGCTCCAGAATGCCAAGGCTGCATCTTTGTCCACCTGGCTGGACACAGAAGGTGTGTGTGTTCTTAAGACATCCTAACACATAACAAGCAGTGTGCTCCTCACAGAAACAGCTGCAGTGAAAAAAAAAAAAAGCACGCTGCACTAGAGCCCATCTCGGGAGGTGACCTCAGGCCTCACACCTCAGTACCTCCGGATTCCCAATGCTAAATGCACCTCATCCGGGCGTCAGAGACTTTCCATCAAGGAGAATTTAGCTATGTAAATGTAACATTATAGATTTAACTACACAAAACAGAGAAGTCAGCTGTTTGTCTAAGCTTTCAATGACAGATACTTTAATTGTGGAATTTTTAAAGCAAAAAAAAGCAATGGAAACTTCATTTTTATTCTAGACCAGTCTATCCCAGACATGCTAATTGTGGTTGGCTGTGCTGAGTCCTCATTTACCGTGTGAAATGCAAATGTCTGTAAATGGCAATGCCTGGGGCCAAGCCAGGCCAGCGGACTTGTATGCAGTTCCCACTGGAGCCAGGAGCTGCTCAGACCGCAGACCCAGCCCAGTCCGCAGACCCAACCCAGTGCAGACCCAACCCAGTCCGCTGGGTTTTGCAAACAAACACAGGCTCCCTCTGCAGCAGCGTGGGCTCGTGGAAGGGAGGCACGCCGCAGCCAGCATGCATGCCAGGGGTCGGGGGTTCTCCCCGTGTCTGCAGAGGTGAGGGGTACAGCTCAAAGAGGTGAGCTGAAAACAAAACAGTGTTCCCCCTTGGCCTTGAAGAAGTGCCTCAGCCACCTCCTCACCAGCCGCAGAGTACTCAGTCTCCTCACAGAAAGAATGCATACAAAAACACTAGAAGCTTTTCTTTTTCCCAAATGGCTGTTGAATTTATTTGCTTGATCAATAATGGTCCTGGCAAAAATTAGTTAACCAATGCTGAGACATTTGTAATGAAATACTAATTTTAAAAATCCATGACACCTTGATAGAAATTAGAGTTTACACAAACAAAAAAGGAACCTTCGATATTGCCAGCAGCTACAAAGTGAATGTACTGAGACCGACAGGACAGCAAGAAGGCATTTGCACATTTATATCTGACACCCGACCATACTTTCAGTCACCAGAATATCTTCTCTCCAGATTTAAAAAAATAGTATGCTGATTTCTATAACAAAGCTTTTTTTCGTACAAAAATCAAATAATGGCCAACGAGTCACAACAGTGCAATAGGTAGAGGATTAAAAACTGCATCAAACAGGTGCTGAAAATAAATACTACCTAGGAGGAGGAGGAGAGAGCCCTCATGTGGGGTTTGTTTTCGTCCCCTTGAGTGTGTGTGGGGTTTGTCTTCCGAGCCACGAGCCTGGCCTGTCTCACGGTGCTATTCACTCTGACAGAGTGCACCTGCAGCACGTGCCTCCAGGGCCCGGCCTCCCAGAAGCCTCAGAGCATCAGAGCATCCGTCTCATGTCTCAGCGCATGGACCAGAAACAAGAAAATAGGGTGGGGCGAATCACAGTTACCATTCAAAGGAAAGGAATTTTTTTCTATTGCTCAATCTTGTCAATTGGGAGTCAGTCCACCAGTAGGTTCACTGAGACGATATGGATAATTTCAAACTTTTGTTTAAGAGCATATATATGGCTTATTCAGGCAAGGAGACGTGTACATTCTAGCCCAAGCAAGCAATCAGGGTCATTCAGTTTTTAAGGAAGGTCAGTCGTTTAAAAGATTTCTGGTTTGAGCAACATCCTCTGTGGATGCACCAGGCCAAGGTGACTACCTTTGACCAACCCAGTGAGAAGGCCTTTGCTGGTCCCCGCAGTGAGGAACCCGCGGGAACGGGCGGCCTCCTCCCCGCAGGCCTGTGCTGCCCAGGGCGGGTGGGCGGGCTCCACAGGCAGCCCGTCTGACCAGATAGGCCGTCCTAGTGACTCGGGCTTATGGACTGCGGTTTACAACTGCAGGAGACAGTTAGGAGGGTGGGCCAGGGAACACCCACCAGGCGCTGCTCTGACCAGAGAACGTGAGGCAGCTCCGCCATAGGGATCTGCACCGAGAAGGTGTGGAAGGCACAAGCAAGAGTGACGGTACCAGAGATCCCGGAGGGCGTGGCTCGCGGCGGCCACAGCAGGCGCAGCGCTGACCTGGTGTGGTTCCCCCCTTGAATGAGAAAGAGATCCTGATTCTGCTGTGATAAAAAAGCAAAGAAAGACGATTTTTGGTTTAAAAAGAAGCCACTCAAGGGTTAAAATAGTTATTTTAACAAAGAAAATTAATCTTCAAATAAGCTGACACTATCTGGAAAACTCATCTGTCCCTAAAGCCCACAATGTGTCCACTGCTTCGTCCTCCCATGGAACCTGAGCCTGACGCAAAGGAGTCAGACGTGTGACAGAGGAAGTCTGAGAAGAGAAGACACCTTTACAGAATGTACAGCGGGAGAGCCGGCCTGGCCCCCGGGTTACAGTAAGATGCACGGGTCCTTTCAGTCTCGCGGACTCCAGACGGCCGCGCAGGCTGCTCAGATGGACGTCTCCTTCCTGTCCCTGCTGGGCGATGGCTTCGCCGGCTCCTTGCCTGCCTTTGGCTGCTCTTTAGCTGCTTTCGGCTCGAGGACGCCGTCTCTGGGCGGCTGGACGGCACCCCCGCGCCACTCAGGCTCCTGGTCCTCCTGCACCTGCTGCTCGGCCTTGGCCCGCTGCATCTGGAGCAGCCGCAGCTGCACTCGCAGCTCGATGATCGCCTCGCGCTCCTCATGAATTGCTTGATTCAAATGATTGTTCTTTATCTTGGGGAATGACAGAAAGGGCAGTTATCACTTAAGGAAGTCAGAGGACGATTTCTCAGGAGCAGAGCGCAGTTAGCAAGGGCATCCTACAGAGGAACCTGGTTTTAAGCCAATGGCTTGTGAAACAGAAGACAAACACAAGTGGAATGCACAGTGCACACTGAGGGCCACGTGACTCCTCAATGTGAGGCTGGAAACCCCGCTCCTGGTTACTGGAGAGAGACACATCCATGTGCCAACCGAAACCCGTCGTTTTAATAATTCAGTGTCCTAGTGTTTAAAATAGACAACTCATAACTTTGAACTGGCTTCTGAACAGCCCTTAAGGAGAAAATAAAAGTAATTTTAGCAGCAATTAGAAAGGGGAGTTAGAGATCCGATAAACAACTAGATTTGTTTCAAAGGTGAATATCCTTTGTCTTTTGTGAATGGCATTACTTAATTCTGAAATGTCCTACTCAAACTATAGAAAATTACTACCAATTCTAAATCATCTGGACATACTCAGCAGAGTTTAGGTACCGCGGAATAGCAGCGGCCCTGCCCGCCATGGCCTCCACTCTGTGGCGGGTGCCAGCTTCCCTTGCTTGGGTGTGGCATGGACTAGGCTCTGCAAAAGGGGCGTAGACATAAGCACAAGCACCAAGTGCCACGCGTGCACCCTGTCCTTGGCCACTGGGCATGCCTTCTCCCTTCCCTGCTAACTTAGTCCTGCTAGGAGTGGCAAGACAGAGCAGCCACGTTGGACCCCGCGTGGAAAAAACTGGTGTGGAGGATGATGGGCTGGACCACCTGCCACACAAGAGATACCATCTTGTTTAAACCACTATGTTATTCTCTTTATTACAGCAATTCAGCCTACACTCCAAGTACAATACTTCTGGATTCTGTTTTCCTACTCAGAGTCGGTGGCTGTGTGTGGAATTCTGCTTTTCTATGCAGGGGGTAGTTCTGGTTCGCACCAGCCACTGAGCCAACCCAAATGAGGGACAGATCC